TTAGTTAAACCAGTCAGGTTTTGTGTCATCAGGGAAGGCGCCGATATCTCCTTTGCGAGACTCCAATAATTTGAGGCGATAAGTCATTTAACAGTGCCATAAATACATCCCCGATTTATTTATGGAGCTGTAAAAGTCAGGACTTTAACTTGTTTTCCCATAAAAGCACAGTTACCCTTCCAGTATATTAAGAATGTGCTCCGTGGTCACTGCTACATTATACAACACGCCTACAACAATGGTGTGGTTTTGTGTGTGGTTTTGACAGGGGTTCAAATTTGTTTTCATTTTTTAAACCGGCCTTGTATGGACTAGATTTGTATTATGAACAATAAAGGCTAAAACTGTTTTTACAAAAATACCTGTACGTACTTAATACCTTGTGTGCTCTACACCTAGCTTCCTGTTCTTAGACAGAGCCATCGAGCTGCTCATGGGTGTTGTCAAAAAGGATGTAGCACAGAAGCTATGTATGTGTGATGGCCTTGCTGAGAGACGAGCATGTTTCACAAACAGGCCGAGCAATTAAAGCCTGAATAATTACGCGCTGAAGAGGAGACACGATTCGCCCCGCTGATCAGCAAAGTTCATGTGAAGTTATAATTAAACAATAACTTGTTTACAAATGAACGCACACACGCATTTGTGTACTTAAGTGTGCAAAGTGTAATTAGCTGCGATGCATCTGAGTGAGATTGGAGAACAACAATGTCAAATGGTGGAATGATGTTCTGCTCGTGAGCTTGTATCACTGTTATCTGTGTGCTGGGGGGGGCAAAGAGAGACGGACAGATTGGATGAGTGATTGATACAGAAGGCTGATTCATCTTCACACAATTCAGAGATGGACATGCTGTTTGACAGGGAGACTCTCTGCTGCAAAGGCGTGAGATTAAGATCTAAATAAAGTTAGCCGCACAAACATTTATTTCATTAATAAATTAAATTCCAAATGACCCCAGGAAATCATAATGAAACATGATGTTGTTATGTTAAATTACATTATGTGTTCTGAGTAAAATTATGTATGAATGTTTTTCCTTCTGACAGACAGAGATATTTGGAGGAGGATTTTGGGCATGCAAACAGGAAGAAAATGAGACAGAAAAAAACAGTTTTGCACTTCAAAATAAGTTTATATGTCAAAATAAATTGAAAATGTAGAGAACAAGGTTGGAATGAGGTCGAAATGACAGTATTAGTACAAAGACAGAACAAAAAAACTAGATGAGAATTTGCAAATATTTTTAATTGTGGCCCTATTAGTCTTCCGTAGATATCTTCCTCATGTTCAATCACACTTTAATGTCTCTCTCTCCTTTTCTTTTGTGACAGGGCTGAATATGCTGAGTCAGTATTTTACAATATCTTGACACCAGAAAGAATACCGTTACGTCCCACTTCATTACCTACTGCTGGAGGAACTGGCAGCATCTGTCACTGAAAAAAAGATTACATTGTCAGTCCACAGCTCTAAAATAAAACAGGTTTACTTATAGAGCAGGTGTTTTTAATGAAGGCTAGACAGGGAAGAGAGGGAAGAGTGTACTGTAATCCTGATAACCTGATAAAACTGTGAGTAAAAGACACTTGAAACAGATCGAGCTGATACACCCTGCATGATGATGCTGCCAGCCGGCCTGAACAGGCTGTACAGGCTGAGAAGTCCTTTTTAAATTCAGACTTTGATTTTCTCACTAACAATAAGCACAAATCTGCAAGGCTCGTGTAGAGTTTGGTGAAAGGTCTGTAAAACCAGTGTTTGTGTTATCGTGATTATCTTGCAACAGCAACAATTTACTTGAGAATAGGGCTTTAACATAATATATTTTATGTATTTTTGCTATTAATTGTTGAGTGTATTAAAATGTCAGGTTTTATATATAACATTTGCATTGCCTCTGTTCTATCTAAGTGTCCTAGAATATAATGGAGCTTATCCATCATCACTCACTGCATTAGTTACACCTGTGTTTCTCCCTCCCGGCATGTCAAATTCCAACTTGTTTCATAATCCGAAGATTTCATAAATGTAAAACCATTTCAAAGTGACAACAAACAGATTTAGGAAAGCTAGATCTGGTATTTTTTGTTTGACAGATGACTCTGGATACCATTTGATGGTGTTTTCTACCGTTTGGTAGAACACATATTGACTTTTGATACCTTAAGGAGGAATGTGTTGCACTTAATAAAACACTACAGTTCTCAGAACTAAAAGGGGGCTTCCTTCCTGGAAATAAGAAAAATCATCGCTTTCCTGTGCTGTTTTAAAAAACAACAACATATGACCACATGCTTTACCAATAAGTTAATATTTCTTCCCAAAGTCTTTTCAAATGTCTTTAATGAGGAGCTTGTGTCAACGTAGTAAATCTAATGTTTTACATTGCATTGAAATAATTATATCAGTTGGATTTTTGGACATTTTCTAAATATTTTCAAAGAAAATACAATTTCTTAATTTTCATTTAATCATTATTTTTGATTTATTCATACATCTTAAAATCCGTTTCAATGTCTGTGTTTTATGTAAAATGTCTAATTTCTTGTGTTTTACACCTTACTCTCATCCAAGAGACACGTGTTACTAAAAATTGTGTTTTGGCAGACAGCTTTTTTCATCTGCTGGTACATTTTGAGATTTTAGGCAATCTTTGCTTCCATTATGTCTTCTTTTAGGCTAGAGGGAATACACACATCCCAAATACCCATTTAGGTGTTTATCTATATTTGTGACCAAAAGTTAGCATAAGGTAATGCCCCAGTGGCATATATAAACATTTCAAAAAACCTTTAATACAAAACATAGCTGACTAAATACAAGCACTCAACAGGGGAAATTTGATTCTGGAGTATATCAGTTAAAAGTGTTACCCGACTCATCTGGGATGTCTCCCCTTTTCTTCATGCTAATCATCAACTTGAGAAGATTCATTGTGATGTTTTTCCTTCCACTAGTCCAAATGAAGATATGTAATGGAAGCTAAATAGCCCAAATTCCACAATTAACCAGTGAATTAATACCAATGGTTTTGCCTGTAGTTTCTGCCAATAAGTCCATATTCAGCATCGATGTGTGTATCTAATTGATTTTTATTTTCCAATGAAATGACATAAACTTGGACTCACCCTCGGGTCATGCTGCTGCCGCTAGATGGCGCTAGAACACCGATCATTCCCTTTCTCAACGGACTAGCACCACAACACTGGAGTCTGTGTATGTGTGTTTTTTCTTCTCTGGGAGCCTAATGGGAAATTTCAAGTCACCTAAATAAAAAGGAAGGTGTAATTAACGCGACGCGCTATTAATCGCATCTGCTAGCGGATGAAGGGCACCAGGGCGCACTTTTTAGATTACTGGCTCCACAAAAGTCTTCTTCAGAGATCACAGAGAGAGAGGGCTTTATTTCCGGGTGTTGCTTCGTGCCAGGCATCCAAATGGCAGGTCAAATGGGCGAGCGATGATGATGCAGAGAGGGACATCTTTTATTTCCCTGCACCAACAACAAAACAGCATGTGAAAATGATACAGTGTTTTGTAATCGGTAACACCTTCTGTATCTCTGAGGGATAATATCCACCGGCTTATTATCCCATAGAAGTCAATTAACCATATTGCCGTTGATTAAAAGTACAATCAGAGCCAATAAGGTCAGTAAAAAAAACACTTATAAATAAGAAGCTGTATACTCTTTAGTCCGGTATATTATGGGAGTATTACGGTATTTTTCACAATGGAAGAAACGCTGCTTTCATGTCATTATACCGTCCAAAAAAAAAACTATAACTGCAGACACGGTTGTAAAATCACAATTAAAGTAGGTCAGTGCATGTAATAAGGCTATTTTACGTGTATTGCTTAATTCAGTGGAAATATGAATTAAAAGAGCAGTTTACTTTTTTTAAATGATTACTGGCCAACACCATTAACAACCGATCAGCTATTGATTAATTGATTAACCTTGTTTGCTCAGTAATGCTGAGGTAAATCTCACTCTCTTCTTTGCACAGAAGTGAAATGGAGAATAATCCGATTGTAATTCGTATTAATATGATAACAACACAGGCAACATTTTTTGTTGTTGTAGATAAGCCGGAAGTGGCAGGGAAATAGCACCAAATAAAATAGATTTCAGAGAGGTGTTCATATAGAAATCACACCACAGGTTCCTAAGGGGATATTAGAGAGAAGTGACATAACATATTGAATAGGAAAATACCATCAGAGTCAACAGTGTCAGTATTACAGTTATCTTAAATTCCCAGAGCAATGTTTTTTCTCGTAAGCTTCTAAGTATTTGTTATCCATTGAACCAACACTTTCTGTTTTGATGGAACAAGTGTAATCCATACATTTAGATTAAAAAACAGGCAAACTGTTTTAAAATCTCTTTTTTGCGTTAACCTCTCGTTTTAAAGGGCCCAGCCTTGTCAGATACTGAAACCAAAAATAACCAATATATGGCAATATTTTGTCTTGTTTTTTCCTATTAGGACAACCAGGAAAACGAATCTTAAATCAATATCAGTGAAAATATGCTTATCATTTAAGGAATTAAGATACATTTGAAAATGCTGTTAATCCTTTGGTATCTATATATTTGCTGTTTAATTAACAATACCCTTAATGTGCAGATAAAGTGAAACCTCTAGCTCCAAATAAAACAGCAGATAAATAATAATGTTGTACCCCTTTCTATCCTCCAAAAGACCTCGATTTGTCCTCGGTCCCCACTTTGGGAACCCCTAATTTAACCCTGGATGGAAGCTGTGGTTTTCCCAGCCAAAGCCAGTCCATTTAAAAGCAGCCCGGGGCAGAAACAACACATCATCGGCTCACAATCTTCCATTCATCAACCCTGATTTTCTCTCAGCCATTAATTCCACCCAAACCAATGAGCTCAAAGCAAAGGAGCCCCTTTCTTTTTTCCTTTTTTAACACCACAGATGTCAAGCAGATAGTGCAGCAGTTTGAAAAAAAATACATTTAGTCTCAACGTTGGAAAAAAGCTGTTTAATATCAACCCCATTATTTAAAAATGTGCAAGTCCGTTGTTCGTGTGTCAGGCGTTTTATCACCCCTGCTTTATCTATCCCAAGTTCATCCAGTGAATATGACATAGCCTATAATATCCCCCCAAAAACCAAAATGACTGGTTTAACAAGCATTTAAACAAAAAGAGAAGAAACAGCGTCGGATTGCTACAGGTATGCATCCCACAACTTCCTGTGAATTATGAGTTCATTAAAGCTACTGAGGAAATATTTCAATGCCATGGTGCGTGTTGTTCTTTGCAGGATAACATAAATCAGGAGGGGGGGGGGGGGATAAGATGTTTCCACATGAGAAAAACAAGTCCCTGGATTTCTGTTTTTGCATAAAACGAAAAGCAAGGTTCTGCATGGAGAAAATATGTTTTTACATTTAGCTGTGACGGTGTTAGGCTGTCGCAATGCCGCTGAGAAATCTAAAATATGTCTCTCTTAATTCTTCCCCTACAAAACAAAAGCCTTCTCGGTGTTATTTCATATATATCTCGCACTTTGTGTCATCTATAAAAAGCCATTGTATAATAAATTACAATCTCATTAACAATACTAAAAAATAAAATAAAATGTCTACGAGCAGTTTCTCCCCCCATGTAAAAAAAAGCAACAAAGACGAAGATGAACAAAATGGCTGAAGTGAAATGCATGGCAACGACTTTACAAACAAATTAAAATAACACCATGTGAATAATAATAATAATAATAATAATAATAATAATAATAATAATTTTGATCATATGCTTCTATTTTTTTGGGAATGTCTGGGAGAAAAGCTAAAGGCCTTATTATTATTACCATTTTCGTTTTTCAATACACTAACCATCTCCGTTTTCATCATCTACGTCTGATTCATGTTGGATAATTCTTTAGAAAATTGTTATCGATTCCTCAGAATGAAGTCCTCAAAGCACTATATTTTGATTGGAAACACAACCTAATGTAATTTCAGAGCGGACATCAAATGGCAAAACAGAACTCCTTAGATATTCAAACAAATTAAATCGATTTCACATTAATAAAAACAAATCTGACGACTGGAAATAAAATGCGCCACAAAGAAATATCAAACTGTAAACGAGCATAATTTCGGCAACAAAATGAACGTTAAATAACACACACATACAAGGCAGTATAGGCTATATGACGAGAACTGTTTGTTTTTGAAAACATCAATCCAAAGAAAGTGCCCCAGTGAAGAAAAAAAAAGGGATGAAGCCATGACTTTTAAAGTTATACATTATTTACAAAAGTGGATCCAAATGTACTCTGAGAGTTGGTGACGTAATATTTGTGTAGATATCTATAGCCCATCATGTTGTGGAAAAGTGCCAGATAATCCAATCAGTCGACACGGAGCCCTTCCTGAAATCTCTGAGGGGGGGGGGGGGGGGGGGAATATCATTTAACGCGTGTTTTGTGAAAATATATCATGGACCTTTTGTTTACACTGCTGTCTGACTCCTGATAGAGGTCAAACAGTTTTTATTATCACTGCACTCAGGCCAGTTATTAAGGAGTTTAGCCAGTGAGCCATACAGGTAATAATAACAATACGAATAATTATAATAATTATGTGTTTATAACTAAATCCTAACCTCACTGAATAACTAGCTGGATGTTTCCAAGCAGTGTTTGGCGGCTGTGTGCTGGTGCCTGGCTGACAGATGGGACTCAGGCGATGCTCACCCCCAGCTGGACTCCACTGGACTGGGGCTGCAGCCTTTACTGGCCTCCAGTTTACTCCATTAACGCAGCTCCTTTGACCCCCCTCCTGCACCACCCACACACATCACCATCACTGCTGGACGCAACAATTTAGAGCAAGAAAACTAAACGCCTTTGTATTTGCTTTCCCTTTTACTCACAGGGAAAAAACAGTGTTGTTGTGTGATTTGATATATAAAAAATGGAAACCATTCAGCTATGCTTTTCGTCTAAAACCAGGTATCCCTCCTCCCCTCCCTCTTTTTTTTCGTCGTATAGTATAATTTCAATACACAATAGGGGCTACACCTTGAAACTGCGTCGACTGGAGTCACAGTGCTGGGCATGTATCCTCGGAGAACAGAACACAGGCTTATGTTCCTTTAGCTCTGCAGAGGAATAAAAAGAAAACGTCCTGTCCTCCCCTCACTTATTTTCCAGATATTCATTGCAGATATTGTCACTGCAATCTATTATACATAAAACACCCACTATAGAGTCTCATAGTTCAGTGATTTATATATAACATTGGGGATAAATAAAAAGGGTAAACATGTCCTGGAGGAGTGGTCCAGCAGAGTTCATTGGACCGGGGTCTGGACCCCGTGGTGCGGCGGCGTGTCCCCGTACACATCCTCATTCCCCGGCAGAGCTCCGGGAGGGGTCATGCGTTTCTCCTTCTGTCTCCTGTTACAAAACCAAACCCTGACCACTTCTTTCTCCAGTTGCAGACTGTCCGCGAGACCCAATATTTCCGAAGCTGCCGGTTTAGGGGACTTCAAAAAATGGCTCTCCAAAGCTCCCTTTACGCTTACCTCGATAGAAGTCCGTTTTTTCCTTTTCCTCCCCTGCGCCGCGATTTTGTCCAGGCTGGTCGGGCTGCCCGAGGTGGAGTCCGCCTCCTCCAACCACTTGTTCAACAGAGGCTTCAGCTTGCACATGTTTTTGAAGCTGAGCTGCAGGGCCTCAAACCTGCATATGGTGGTTTGGGAAAACACATTTCCGTACAGGGTCCCCAGGGCGAGTCCCACGTCCGCCTGCGTGAAGCCCAGCTTGATCCTCCGCTGCTTGAACTGCTTGGCAAACTGCTCCAAGTCGTCCGAGGTCGGCGTATCCTCGTCCGAGTGGTCGTGGTGGCTCTGCGACCGGTGCTGGTGCTGATGCTGGGACGCAGGGTGTCCGTGGTCGCTGAGGTGCGGGCTGTGGTGCTCCTCGTGAGTGTCTCTTAGGTTGTGGTGGTGCATCCCCTGTGCGCTGCCCGGGAGCAGCCCGTTGACGCCGAAGCCCGGCTGGGAGTAAATAAGGCTTTGGCCGTTCGTCGTGGCCATGCTCGGTATGTGCGCCGCGGTGGTGGTTCTCCACGCCCGGCCGTCGTGGTGGTTCACGTGCGTCTGGTGCACCAGATGAGGTGGCCGGGACTGGTGCTGCAGGTTGTTACTGGAGTTGTGCATCTCGTCCCGGGCGCTCTGCACCGCGGGTTTGATGTCCTGCTCCACGCCGAGCGGGCTGGAGGACCACGGGGCTGTGTCTCCGTGGGACAGCGCTGTTATCCACTGGTGTGCGTGGCTGAGCGTGTGGCTGTTGCTCTGCAGCGGGTAGTCGCTCTGCAACAGGCTCTGCGCGTCCCGGTACGCCGTGGCTTGCTGCATGCTGCCGGGCTCCGAGTGCACGATGGATGCGCTGGAGGTGAGGATGCTGTAGTGGTTAGACGCTGCGGTCGCCATGACTCTCGGAGCCGGACTGGTCTCTCTTATTGAAGGAACCTCGCATTTGACAGATCCTCTCCTGCCCACAGGCGGCTCTCAGGCGCTCTGCCAAGTGGACGCCGAGGCGCACCTGGACTCCGTCACGCCCCCGCCGCTCATTGGACTTCCCAGGAAGATGTACGTGGTAACCAAGGGCAACGACGCGGTGATTGGCTGCTGGGAAGTCTCAGCAAACACTACTCTCTTTGTTGGAGAGGTGCGAGTTGAGGCTCCCGGGAAGCGGAGAGCCGGAGTGCAGCATGGGGAGACGGAGCACCGGCATCAGCAGAGCAACTGTAAGAGACAGTAGATTTACTTTGATAATCAGGTATCAGGAGGCTGAGGGGAGTTGAGATCCAGGGGACTCAGATGAATACAAGAGCTCTGCTGTGCAGGATATACTGTGTGTTTAATGAGGTAGACTTTACATGTTGTTGCTATTTGTTATTGCATATTTATGATATTACATTTGGCTATGGAAACGTGCGTAATATTGCATTTCAGCAAAGATTGTTGAAATGCAACAATCTGCTTTTCAAAGACAAGGCCTGTGCGAGAGGAAAATGCAGTTGAATGTATTTATAGGGATGCTGTGTTGCAACATTTCTGCTTAGACATTGTTTGCATATTAATATGCCTGTATAATTTGCGTTGTGTGTATGAGATAGGGTTTTGATACTCTTTTTGCAAAGAGTATGTAAATTCCATTTTGAAATTACCGTTAAGCTTAAATTCTGCTGTAATTGGGAAACAAACTAAATAGTTCTAAAACAACATGCATGCTCACATACCAGCAGATAAAACACTTAATGTGTTAAAATATAAAGTGTACTGTCTTATTGTAAATGTAGGAGAAATATCTGAAATACAACTTGTTTTCTAAATGTAACATATCTGGTAAAGGAGAAAAGCTCAGGCACGTTTTAATAAAATGTATTGTATTATTAAAAAAATCTAAAACATTTGAATACATTTCATTACATTTAGCTTCATTTGCTGACAGCTTTCAAGTGAGAGTTTGGTAGGAGTTTCAATTGAGTTATGTCTAACTCTTTTTTACTACCTGCATTGAATTTCTACATCTAATCCCTGCGTCCTTAAATATTTTTTAAACCAGTCTAATAAAAGCTAAAATGCAAAAGAAAGTGCCATTTTATCATCAGGGTTTGTGAAAGTGTAGCTTAGCACTTTTTTTCTCAATGAAGACTTGTAAATGTAACCGTCTTTCATATGTCTGCACATGAACACTTTTACAGCCCATAAAGTAAACAAATCCACTATTGTGCCATACCAGGCTGTAAATTGAAATAACCAGCATGCACTGGGAGGAGTGGCTACACACAGAGAAAGGGAGGATTGAAGTTTAGATTCTATAGCTTGAAGGACATAAAATACATTTAATAATGCAATATGCTTCTTTAAAAAAATGCAGTTAATGTGCTTTAAAATTGCAACACAGTAAAGGATCAACGTGGGATCTTTAGAGCGTCTTTAGAGAAGCCTTTTGGTTCTTTACATTATCAAAAGAGATTTAGAATTATTTTTGCACTACTTTAGAGTTAATAGCTTCTGCTCATCCTCCAGTAAAGTGAGAAAAGAGAGGAGTGAAGAGGAGGATTAAGTCCAGACTCAGGCCTTCAGAGCAGGCAAGGCAGCGAGGGCCCCCCCACCCCAGCTGTCGTCCCCCAAGTGTCAGCTTCAGGGACCAGGACTTTGTCCAGAGAGGGGACATTCCTGGCCGGCCGCTGCTGGTTGCCATAGGGAGAGGTAAATGAAACAACAGCAGTCGCGTCACTGCTGCCTCCCCCTTCTCTCCCCTGTTCCTGGACTATCTAAAGGCCTCTATTTAGAGAGGCTCTCTGCTGCGGGGACAAAGCCTTCACAGGGATAAAGGAGGGAGGGGTAAAGAGCACAGGGCCCTGAGAAGAGGGAGAAAGGACGAGAAGAAGTGAAAAAGATGAGAGAGATTATGTCTGTCCTCAAAGCTGCTCCTCACACTGCACTGAGAGAAAATACAAACAGAATGTGGCTTGGCAGAAGTTTCGAATTCCTAGTGCCTTCATTTTGAATGCTAGAAGGAATGAATACTTCTTACATGCAATTCAAAAGCATTTATATGGCCTGTAACAAGCAACAAGCAATATAGTAATAGATACTGGCCACAAATTAAACCAATAAATCAATGGAGGCATTTCCTCAATATCCACATTTCTAACTTCTAAACTATGCAAATGACTGAAACTGTAATTAGACATTTTATTTAATAACTTAAAAGGTAGGTCCTAATTAAAAGGCAATAAAAAAGCAATTATCAAAGAAATATTTTCACAAGAAATAATCAAAATGTGAAGTAAAAACTGAAAACAAGTCTATATGCACACTTACAATTCATTCTTAGGAATGTTAATTTATTCAGGAAGTTCACACAAGGACACACGTCATGTGTATCGACTGAGCTGTGTGAATAATATACAAAGAGAAAGTGATAATTACTCATGTTCTCGTCCCTTGCTTTACATCTGGACTGGATGTTTAACTTGCTACCTGATTTAAGTGGTTTTCTCTTGTCTTTTTCTGCTTTAGTGGACAAAATAGACATTTTTAAATTATGATGTTGCTTTATAAAACTGTTGGACGGTAAACTAAGACAAGTATGTTCTTATTACCAGTTTTAAGGTGCTTGTACATCAATTTGATGCTACATCTCAGAGGCAAATAGTGTACCTTTTACACCCCTACATTTACAAAAGAGCTTTAGGTACTTTGGATATTCACCTTACTTATAACTAAATATAATCAACATATAATGTCTCTATTATTATTAGTGGTTAAAAAAGATTGGTTTGTGAGATTTAGAAGCTACCCAGCAGTACAAATATATAAAAGTATACTCGATGCAACATTAAAGTAATTTAAAGTGATGAATGCAATAATGCATCAATAACTATAATTTAATAATTGAACATATTACTCTGAAATGGGCCATTGTACAGATTGAGTACTTTCCAATTCAGTTTCTATGACATTTCTTTATTTGCACTGTTGAATTACTGCTTTTTACTTAAGTCAAAGTATTCTTCCACAAAACAAAGAGCACATGTCATCATCTTGAAATAAATAAAAGGACCTTTTGTTAATTAAATGCATAGTTTGTTATATCTTTGCTTTAAATGTACACTTTGCAGCCACACAAATATAACATTGATAATTGGTTGGACTTAAAGTTAACAGTTAAAAGTCTTTTTAATAGGCTATGTTTTCTAATGTTGTTGTTCTGTTAGCATTTATAATGTCTGTAAGCAGTGATTTGGATAAGGCCTGTAATGATCAGTGGAGAATATTCCATGTATAACTCAAGCTCTTCAATTAAGTATTACTGATTGGGCCTTTAATGGCTCTCATTTCATAGGCTAATAATCCTTTATGGATGTGAATCCAGCTGCACTGATAGCACATGAAGCTGCCAGGGTTAAGTCATACGAGGAAAAGTTTCCAGGCACAGCTCAGTAATTAATTCTGGTAATATTGAACATTATTGTGGCGTAACATAGAAATTGTCCAAATCAAAAGAACATTGTGGTGATTAGGCTGTAATTCAAGGAATTACCACATTGCCACATAGGCTTAAATAGTCGTGTTGGGAGAAACGCAAAGCACATTATTTTAATGGTGTAATATGCAAACTATGGCTCGTTTCAATTACATGGCTTAACAATGCATAAATGATGCGCGCCTTGTTATTTTGACTGCAGGGTCCTCAGTTATTCAATCACTGAGAAGGGCCCCGTTACAGGGGCCCTGCTGCCTCCTTGCTTACAGTGGGAACACTGAGCACAGAGGGCTGTTGCCAAACTACATTTAAGGGAATACAAATGAACAGCATGAGAATGTAAGCGTTAAATTAACAGTACGATAATTATATGACCCGTGTGCTGTAAAGATTCAATTTCTAACGCTCTAATTAGGCGACTGTCTCCCCATATATCAGCTCACATCCCCTCTGCCAATTTCTCAGCAGAAAGCGTCCTGCGAGCGGAAATAATTAGATTTTATTAAGACACGGCTAGCATAATAAAGAAAATCAAAGGAGGGGCTGGTTGAATATGATATGTTTTTAAAATCGTTGATTTTTCCGCACACACACAGTCCACTGAGCCCCATTTAAAGACAAGGTCAGTTGAGTCCAGACTGGAGGGAAACAGGCTGTCTGACTGTGTTAACCAAGGCAATACACTGTCCACTGTAGAAGGAAGATATAGTACAACACATATATTTCTTAACCCGCCCTAACACAGTAATACAGTCCATGAGTGATGCTGTAAAATCATCACTGAACAATTCCTCTATGTGAGGCTGCAAGTAATGATTATTTCGAGTCCAAAGAGCATTCAGCTTATTTTACTTGGCATGTTAATGTATGTGCAGATTTTGACACCAGATTACTGTTTAAAGTCTATAGGTCAAGAGCTCAACTCAGTTTAACACATGGGACGTAAGAGATGATTTTTGTGACATCACAAGTAGAGTGTAGCCAATATTCAATTTACAGAAGTGTGATGGGAAAACCTTCAATGTGTATACACTGAGAACGGACTTTTCATTGTAGTAGTATACATATTGAGTCTAATAGTTAATGTGCATATTCAGAGCTCCATCGATGGAGAATGAGCTATCATTTTAAGACTTTAAAGGAGGTAAATAAATTGTGTTCTTTTTGTCTGGGACACAAATTATTATTTCAAGCACATCTCAAAACAGGTCTGGAGAGGATCCTTCAAATGCGTATTGTGTCCATTCAACAGTCGCCATACCAAAACAATTCAGTAGTCAGAAAAGTCGAAGAAAACATCTAATCTTACCTAAACAATAATTCTTATTAAAATATTTGCTGATAAATTCTCTGTCAAATGTCAATTTTTTCATCTCTTATTATATACATGGAAGGATTCATGCCTCCATTGAATACCATTGCAATATATAGACTATTATTATTATTATTATTATTATTATTATTATTATCCAATGAGGTATAATAAAATGCTTACCAATTTAGCATTTAGTGCCACAAAGAGACACAATA